TTCTAAGTGTGGTATTTGCATTTGGAATCTATTGCTGTGAACCTACATTATGCGTTCAAAAGAGCTGTCCATGCAAGTGAAACAGGCCATTGTAAGGATTCAAAAATGAAACAAATCCATCAGAGAGATAGCAGCAACATTAGGAGTGGCCAAATCAACAGTTTGGTACATTCTGAGGAAAGAAGAACGCACTGGTGAGCTCAGCAACATAAAAAGGCATGGACGTCCATGGAAGACAACAGTGGTGGATGATCGCAGGATCCTCTCTATGGTAAAGAAAAGCCCATTGACAACATCCAGACAAGTGAAGGACACTCTAAAGGAGGTGGGGGTATCATTGCCAAAGTCTACAATCAAGAGTAGGCTTCACGAGAGCAAATACAGAGGGTTCACCACAAGGTGCAAACCATTCATAAGCCTGAAGAATAGAAAAGCCAGATTAGACTTTGCCAAAAAACATCTAAAAAAGCCAGACCAGTTCTGGAAAAATATTCTTTGGATGGATGAAACTAAGATTAATCTGTACCAGAATGACTGGAAGGAAAGTTTGGAGAAGTCTTGGAACAGCTCATGATCCAAAGCACACAACGTCATCTGTAAAACATGGTGGAGGCAGTGTGATGGCATAGGCATGCGTGGCTTCCAGTGGCACTGGGTCATTGGTGTTTATTGATGATTTGACAGAAGACAGAAGCAGCTGGATGGATGAATTCTGCAGTGTTTAGAGAGATACTGTCATCCCAGATTCAGCCAAATGCAGCAAAGCTGATTGGAGGGCACTTCACAGTACACATGGTCAGTTATCCAAAACACACTGCAAAAGCAACCCAGGAGCTTTTGAAGGAAAAGAAGTGGAGTATTCTGCAATGGCCGAGTCAATCACCTGATCTCAACCCCACTGAGCATGCATTTCACTTTCTGAAGGGAAAACTAAAGGCAGAAAGACCCACAAACAAAGAACAACTGAAGACAGCTGCAGTTAGAGCCTGGCAAAGCATCAGAAAGGAGGAAACCCAGTCTTTGGTAATGTCCATGGGTTCCAGACTTCAGGCAGTCATTGACAGTAAAGGATTCTCAACAAAATATTACAAATGAACATTTTATTTATGATTATATTCATTTGTCCAATTACTTTTGGTCTTTTGAAAAAGGGGGATGGCTACTCTTAAGAGCTGTAATTCCTAAACCCTTCTTCCAATTTGGATGTACATACCCTCAAATTAAACCTGAGAGTGCGCACTTTCAGCCCATATCCATTATATAACTATAGCTTGAATATGGTTTGGTAAATACCTGAAAAAAATCTAAAATTGTGCCTGTGTCCAAATACATATGGACCTAACTGTATTTGCCCCAAACTGTTTTTTTTAGTTTTGCATAAAGGATCAGAGTGTCTGTTTTGTTGCTATCTGTGGATTTACCTGCTCCATTTGTTTTGGTGTCACTAGAACAGAAAAAGATAGGCTGTAACTAGAACAACAGGTGAAGGTAAACCTTCCAATGGGGACAACTGTTCTGGTGACACTGTCTGAAATGGGAATTTACCTAAATTTATAGCGATTTTCTCTAACTTTCTATTATGTCTTCAAGACAGGAAATTAAGGGAAATCTCTCAAACAGAAAGCAGACAGCCAAAAAACAACTGACAGGTGTTGGTTGGGAGTTCACCCCCTAGGGGCACCTGAGAAGAGTTATTAGCCATTAGCTTTATCTTTACATAACTTCAGGATGGATTAGTGTCACCTTCAGGCCGAAGGCCATGTTACACATACGCACCTTTCACACCAGTAGAAGGACAGCATCTCTCTTCTCTACCAGTGTCCAGGTTTACTCTTACTCATCCTGAAACCTGATTTAGCAATCATTCCTAGAAAGTGGCACTGAGCACTCACTTTATCCCACCAGATTATATTGATTCACTTTTCAACACCATTAACCGTGTTCTTCCCATGGGCTCAGAGGGAAATAATCGCCAAGCTTTACTTCACAAGACCTTGCACTACATGACCTCCAGGTCCCTAGAAGGACTCTGTACTGCAGCAGGCTCCATTATGGAGGACCTGCCACTTAGGGAGGTGCAGAAAGTACTAAACTGTCCCTTCACTGCCAGAGTCTCCACCAGCTGCCACCAACATCACTTCCTTTGCTAGCTGACTGCTTATTCCTTCTCTGTACACTTTTCATAACCATTAAGGTTGTCTGTAATGTTTGCATTTGTTCCCACTCCATCCCAGAGGGTTAATTATGGCTTAAAGTGGAACTGCACTATATCTGAGCACCACAAACCAAAAATACTATTTAATTCATTTTTAATCTTCAAAGCAAACTCCTCCATTCATCCATGTCTCCATGCTTTATTTTGCTGAGAAATCATTTTGAAAAACACCCCCTGGCATGTCTGGCCATGGCCAACTTGAATAAGGGCAGATGATTCATGTAGCAGTTACTTTCTAGAATCCCTCTGCCCATAACACAGGCATTGGCTGAGCTGAAAACCCTCCCTCCCCTCCTGAAAACTCCTGGGATGCATGGCATCATTTGCCTAGGCATGTAAACCAGGAAGTAAATGAAGAAATGCAAAAAAAAAAAACAAGTACATATGATATGCTTTCCTATCTATTTACTAATGCAAGCAAAATAACGATTATAACTAGCCAATGTTGGTTGAGAGAGTGAAGTTCTGCTTTAACTTCTCATTCCCTGGTTCTTCTGCATGGAGAGATCAGACAACTTATTCTTGAATAAGAACTTGTTTTTACTAGACAATTGTGACAAACATTTCTCCTCTTTCACATGGCTTTGCATTACAAACAAGACCTAGGCTGTGACCTATATGTAAAGAATTTGGAGTGCTGCTCAAAGCACTATAAAACTTTCCTCTGTACTCCTAAAACACTGAACGGGTGTCGACATTCTAATAAGCTCATCCAAGCTAACACAGATAGATGGGAAGACAAAAAATGGAAATTCTGCAGACTACAACCCAGCTTCTATGCAAAATTATGTGGATTACGACTTCAGCTCCTCCTTGCCATGTCCCATTGATGTGTTTCTTCCTGCCCACTGGGCTTAACCATAGAAAAATATTAGGCACCATAGGCAGAGAGAAAAGCTTCAGAGGGGCATGGCCAGGAGGAGCCTGGCTGAAGCCTTAATCCACATAATTTTGCATAGGAGCCAGGTCTCGGTGTGTGGAATTTAAATTTTTTGTGCTATGATTTGGCTGTGATTTATATTGGTGGTGCTGTTCTATTGGTGTTACCCATACCTTTTGTAGAAAGGTCACTACATTATAGTCCATTTGTTGTACAAAAGCCATGACCTATTTGAGGGTGCCATTACTGTAAGAACTGACTACATGTTACACTGGTCCTTACTAGTTAATTCCCACACCAGACTCTCCCCACAAGGTCAACTTACCCAATTATATGACCTCTTAAAAGGAAGTGATTCACACACACAGGGGATGTCATGTCATAGTGCTCAACCCTTTCCCATATTATCTAAAACTTAAAAGAAAAAAAAAATGGCTTGATTTTATATCCACTTTGAAGACGGGAAATTATATTATCATCACTGCAGTTAGACAGCTAGAATTTTTAAAAAGGCATTCAACAAAGCCATCTCTCCTATTTCTGTCAGTTATTGTTTCCTTTCACATTAGAAAAGATTACACTTACCTACAAAGAACTATTCTAAAATAACCAAAGCAATTGTTAAGTGAATACACAAATATCTTACAATAGAAGTATTATAAAAGTATTATAAAGGAAATTTGTCATGATAGACCTATGAATGCTGTCATTGCTGACCTCCTGGTGATAATTCAAATTTTCCGGCCTGGAACAGGTATGTAGATTACGAACTGTAATTAACTGGCTACACTCTTGTTCTGAACTAACAACTCTGAAAGTATTGAAGCCACAGCCAGCCAGGTTACTAGTATTTTCAGAAGGATGTTATCAAGGAGGTCAACTCTCATAATGGATGTGCATAAACTCATGCGTTAAATGGTCTGAGCAGACAAGGGTCCTGGAAGCTACTAGGGACAAGCAAAGGTAAATAATATAGGAATATATTAGGCTTCAGGGGTGCCAGCGAAGGTCTACAAGTGTGTCAATCAAATCACACTATATTTTGCAAAAGGCACAGGGCATTGTAATATACTGGGGCCCTTTGTCTGCCTGGATCATTTAACTCATAAGGTAGGCTAAGCCTTTAAATCTATATTTCAGTATGATTGGCTTGATGACCCACTGTTTACTATTTTCTTAGGCTCCATGCTGGTGCTATGGACCATATGCATTCTTGCATGTTGTTGCCTGAATTTGTGTGTTGTGTGTAGGGCAGGCTAATGATTTCAATGGGCTGTTCTACATGCATAAAAAGCAAAAAAGGAGTGCATAACCCTTTTTAAATATCACACTGCACCAACATGCATGGTCCTTTGTTACTATGTACTTTGGCACACGAACATGCTTGTGTTTAGCAAAGGTGTATGGGGTGGCATTACGAATTAAAAGGGAATATGCATGACTTTGTGTGAATTCCTGCGTACCTAGTCTAAAGCAATTTTGTTTTTCATGAATTTATGTAAAGTTTCTTTCCTAGAGATGTTGCCAGTAACAGCACTTCTTGTTGTAGGCTGACAACACTAAGCCACTACCTCAAAGCCAGCAGCAGAATTGTCACCCTGACAAGCAAGATTCTTTACTTTGCTGTTGGCCAGCTTATTTGCCAGACCTGACTGGCAACCCATCAACCAACTAAAGGAATGCTCACAGCAGACTGACAATGTTGTTTAGAGTTTTCAGCAGGGGCGGACTGGCAACTCATGGGGCCCCCGGGCAACAGGGGGTCATGGGGCCCCTGTGTCCTTGCCCAAACTCAAAAAAGCCTATGAAAAAGGTACCAGGGGCATCTCATGGGGCCCCCTACTGACCCTGGGCCCTCGGGCAGTGCCCGAGTTTTGAAATGGTCAGTCCGCCCCTGGTTGTCAGCCTTCAATAGGAAGTGCTGTTACTGGCAGGATCTCCAAGTAAGAAACTTTGCAACAGATTCACCCAAAATGACTTGCTTAAGAAAACTGTACACGAGACTTGACACCAAACATAATGAAAAGTAGATATTGATTTTCCATATATTTTAATGGCTAATACTCTGCCAGTTCTCCAGGATTGCCTTGACTTATGGTAGAAGGGTTAATTTAAAATGACAGAACAAGTCCAGCATTACACTGACAATATCTTCCTATAATTTACAAGGCAGATACCATTCTGATGGAATTGCTTTAATTTTATCTGCAGCATTGTTAAATCCAATCACAGCAAAAGCCATTCTGCCTATAATGTTCTCTATTATTCATCTCTGGCATCTCATTCTAGACATTCCTTCCATTTTCAACTTGTCTGAACAACAACAACAGAATAGCTAGGTACAAGGAACAGTCACCCGAGGGGTCTGGGGATAATTCAGCCCTCCGCTGATGTGTTCATTCCTTAACGCGACACACATAAGCTAAGAAGTTGGATCATTCAGGATGATTGGAAATAGATGAAGATTTATGAAAACAATATTAAATAAGACGAACAGAAAATAACTGCACTGAACTCTTCTTCCGAGGTGAGATTAAATAAATCTCAGCTTCTTCAGATAGAGCGGCTGAAAATCCTTCTCTGCTGGAAATTGCATAACTAGCCATGTGCTGGTTGTGTTTTTCTTCGTGGAGTTGGATGACAATTCAACAAATGTGAATCATAATTGTTAGATTCTGTGTGACAAAACAAAGGAAAGCCATTTTCATAAGTATAAAATATTGCTTAAAATTGTTTAACAAGATGTTAGAATTTTTTTTTTTTTATTGACAGTTTTCATGAATTTAAACATCCAAAGACAGATATCCTTTCAAAAACATAAGAGGTGGATAATGACTTGTGTTGTCTTAAAGTGATAGTAAAGGTTTAGATTTTTTTTTTAATAACAAACTTGTCATGCTTACCTGTTCTGTGCAATGGTTTTGCACAGAGCAGCCCCGATCCTCCTCTTCTCAGGTCCCCTGCTGGTGCCCAAGGCCCCTCTCCACTGCTAAGTGCCCACTCCTGAGCTGCCTCTGTGTCCCCCCTGCTGTCAACCACAGCCAGTGAGGAGGGAAGCGGGGGCTCAGCCCTGCCCCCCGCTCCCTCCTCACTGGCTGTGGTTGACAGCAGCAGGAGTTTCAATTTACTGGATAATGGACATGAGTATTTATAATAAAAACAATTGTGCAAGTTATGTGGTCTTTGGTCACTGGCCAGATGTTGGTGATGATGGTCAGATGTTGGTTAGAATGGTCAGATGTTGTTGATAATGGCCAGACATTGTTGATGATGGTCAGATGTTGTTGATGATGATTGATATAACACAGCCCCCCCCCCCAAAAAATCTTTCTTTTTGAACTTTTAGGATCTGGTCTTGTGATTATTTGGGACACTGATTTATAAAATTGCATTGACTAGACTGCAACAGCTCTGGTTTCTTAGATATGGTTGAATTTATATAAGCAGTCTTTGAAAAGATATCAACCAATTCTGTTACCTAGTTTGTTTTTTGTGTACAAGTTAGCAGATATAGTGAGTGTTTATACATTTCCTACTATAATTTTACATCAGAAACATTGGATTATAAAGTGCAATTTATTAACGCTAGTATAGTTATGATTGTATAGGAGGTGTGTGTATATTACAACTCATATGGTTTCATTTTTGCAGATCGAGCACCGTAGAGAATATGGTTTCATTTTATGTGTTTCTTTCAGGCAACAAGGAGATTAGCGCTACATTAAAATATCCTGATTTTTGGTGAAGATTGGTATATGGCATTTATGCTGTATCTCAAGAACTAGAGTCGATAGGGAAAAAATTGGTGTCATTTTTGGAATCAGTGGGTCAAACATGCCCAGGAACAGGTCTAACATGTGTGTTGGCCTGTGTAATTTTAGGAGCCTTCTGGACTTTCCACTGTTTCTGAATTTCTTAATTTATACTTTTATGATTCAGTGTCCTAAGGCTTGGCACTGATCCTTTGTAGTCATGGGTTTCCATACTTAGATGTTTCAGTAATATGTGTGCATATAAAAGCTATCTTATAATTATATAAATTCATTAGTAAATATTTTAATGGTAAATCTTTCCACAACACTTATATCAACCTTTCAAGTGACCAGTGTCTCCTACTTTCTTTTTGTTCCTGCACTGCATCCCTTGCCAATCTCTTGGACACTTCTGGGAGTGTCAGATGCTTGTGTCCCCTGGGCATGCAAGATACCATCCTCCTACCCTTGTGGTATTGCTGCTTCCTTTAGTGACATAGGGGTCTGAAGATGAACCACAGCTCATAGCAGACAACAAAGGGCAGAAATGCCATATTAAAATATTTAAATGCATGCTGTAAATAAATAAATTTTTAGGAATTCAATATAAAATTAAAAAGAAATGAGAAAAAATCTATGGGTTGTATGGTAGCTTTAGGTAGCCACAGAATTTTTTGCAGTGGCCCTCCAGGAAGGTCCCTAAACCTGGGTAATCTTTTTGTTGTTGTTTAGTTTTTTTTAATATTATTGTTCACAGTTAAAGTACCCAAGTATGAAATAAAAATGTAGTATTGCGCTCACAACCTTCCAATCTATATATATAGACAAATAAAATTGTGTATATGATATACATAAATAACTGAATAAGTGGATCTGTAGAAATCAACTCACATGAGCAAAATATAAAACAGTGAAAAAAACTAAAAGAAAATAATATAATAATATTGTATAATAATAATGTCCCACAAAAAATATAAGTGACTTTGTGCTGAAAAATCTTCAATATCTTTTAATGGGTGACTGCTTGTGCCTCCTCCCTCAAGTGAAGATGTGCGCTCACCTCATAGATAGCCTGCAATTAGGCTATTAAAGCTTGCGGTTCACCTCCTTGGAACCTACTTGTTTAGGAATTGATGTTGATAAGATAACCATGAAATGCGACATGTGCTGTAGAAAAGTATCCTCTCACTGGGTGCTACTCCACTGTCTTCTTATTTCCATGCGATCATTTATGGTGGTATGTGCCCAAGGATGAAAGCTTGGAACACAGACTTCTTGCATAATTCTTAGAGTTCATAGATCTTCTCATGAATACAGCTTCTCCTTCTTTCCCTCCTTCGGTCATGTGATAAGTCATATGACAAGGGGAGAGAGGAAGGACACTCTGCCTTCACTCCTTAGTGCCGGCTATCTATATGATATATCATATAGATAGCCGGCACTAAGGAGTGAAGGCAGAGTGTCCTTCCTCTCTCCCCTTGTCATATGACTTATCACATGACCGAAGGAGGGAAAGAAGGAGAAGCTGTATTCATGAGAAGATCTATGAACTCTAAGAATTATGCAAGAAGTCTGTGTTCCAAGCTTTCATCCTTGGGCACATACCACCATAAATGATCGCATGGAAATAAGAAGACAGTGGAGTAGCACCCAGTGAGAGGATACTTTTCTACAGCACATGTCGCATTTCATGGTTATCTTATCAACATCAATTCCTAAACAAGTAGGTTCCAAGGAGGTGAACCGCAAGCTTTAATAGCCTAATTGCAGGCTATCTATGAGGTGAGCGCACATCTTCACTTGAGGGAGGAGGCACAAGCAGTCACCCATTTAAAAGATATTGAAGATTTTTCAGCACAAAGTCACTTATATTTTTTGTGGGACATTATTATTATACAATATTATTATATTATTTTCTTTTAGTTTTTTTCACTGTTTTATATTTTGCTCATGTGAGTTGATTTCTACAGATCCACTTATTCAGTTATTTATGTATATCATATACACAATTTTATTTGTCTATATATATAGATTGGAAGGTTGTGAGCGCAATACTACATTTTTATTTCACACTTTTTCACATTGGTAGTTATGTGCTAGAAGTTTGCGATCCAACAATAGGAATTTTGTTACTTGGCTCGCAAGGTTTTTTCAAATAATAAAGTACCCAAGTATACAAAAGAGAATAGTTTTGCATAAAAGGATTGACAGAATATGCTATACAGTATTTCCAGTCAACAATGAAGAAGGTAATAAGTTTGAAAAAGGGAGTGGAACAACCTTGTGGGTTCAACAACTGAAATTACATATGTATAAGTTAAATTAAAAAAAAGTGATATTACATGTCTGCATGAATATAAATAATTTAATGAACTACAATTTGCAAGAGGATTTAGAGATACATATTGGTTTAAGTAGTGTTTTATTGCTCAATCCAAGGATCCCATTTCCTATAAAGGATTGACATTTTATTTTGGCTGAGATCATATTGTTTTTTTACTGGTTTATTTTTAATTATTTAGGTGTTTTCCCTTGTTTAATTGTAGGAATTTTGTCAGATTTCTGCTATTTAGAAATCAGTGAATTTAGCCGCCAGCAGATCTGCTTAAATAAATTGTTGTAAACTGAGTGATTATAATACTTCTTGATTGATTTTAACATAGAAATAAAAGTGTTTATTTATTTATTTATTATTTATTTTTTTAGTATCAGAGGTTTGACTTATAGATTTTTCTCCAATAGTCAGGACTCATTTTCATTAGGAACAGGTTAGTCAGATGTGCTTATAGTTTCCCTGGATAGAACAGGCTTTCCTTCAATGTAGTAGCTTCTGGGTTATATGTGATAAGGCCTTGGTGTATCAGGTACCATCTATGTACTGTATTATTTTGTCTGATACAGTAAGCTTAGCGATTCAGTTTAGTAATGGTAGGCAGCTTCTATTTTTTCTACTTGGGGAAGCACCAAGATCCAGGTCCCATTTTATCGTGTTCAGGTTTTGTTTCTTGATGTTTTATAATATACTACATATTCTTGAGAGAGATCTTGCAAATGGTACATTTTCTAACTAATGTCTCAGATTTCTGTGTGTAAGCTTTGAGTGGGCCAAAGTATAGGCTGAATTAAGCCTTTTCCAATAGGGGAAGGGTTTGGTGGGGCAAGGCCAGGAAAGTATGTATCCACAGTGGGGTGGGAGCAGGCTATCAGGTGCACCTGATTCTTTGTCCTAAAGTATAGATTCTTTAATTAAATGCCCCAGGAAACAATGACCACAACCCACATTCCATAAAGACAATTGTCTAAAGTCACAAT